TCATATACAACCAAAGGGACAAAAAATAATATTGTTTTCTCGTTTACTCTGATATGTCTGTGCCTAAATCTATCTCGCTTATACGGTTTTTATTATTTATAGAGCCCGTCTACCCAATTCTCCCTCTACGGTATATTCACATATTAAAAAAAGTTGCTATATAGTCTCGGTTATAAGTGGACAACTAATGATTATGCATAAAATGATGATAATAAAATAATATTCATTCAGTTTTCTTTTAAATTTTTAAATCGTGTTTCATACTTCTATCATATTTGGAGTTACGACAGTGTTTGGATTTCAATAATTAGGTCTCGACTAGCGCGGGGCAAGCGGACGGCCGGTTGGTCCTACGACACGCGAGAACACGTTAGAAACGAGTTCGAAGTTCTCGGTTCCAATATGCACCGTGAACAGCTAATACGACACTGGAAAAGGTTAGTGGTAATTACAATATAAATTGGTTTGTGTATGAACGAATATGTAAGTAAGTACATATATGTGTATGTATGTAAGTATGAATACCCTACATATATAATAACAAGTGACGGGACGAACAAATGTGCGACTAGTGGTAAGCGACACGCCCGTCCATACCAGTTGCAGTGCCACTCAGAGCTTTAAATCGCAAAGATCTTAGGGGCACTACCTCTTGCCCCGTCACCGCAGTAACTATTTAAAAACAATATAAAATATCAAGTGTTACGCTCCTCAAACGCCCTACTGCCTCTCTTTCTATTTTATCTCTTTATTTTTTTTGTCTTGTAGCGTTTGGCTTCCGTATGAATTTGTTGTCGTGAATTGTTAACAATGTTTAAGGGTCGTATTCCAGAACTCTACTCAATACTCAAGTCAGGACTTGAGTATTGCAGTGAGCACTGAAAATCATACTCAAGTCCTTGCCATTAGGGTCGTATTTCCAGTGCTTGAAATCATACTCAAGTCTGCTCAAATCCTGACTTGAGCATTGAGCAGAGTTCTGGAATACGACCCTAAATATTGGTTTTTTCGTTACTTAATTACTTAATAATCGTAGAAAAAGTATTGTATGCTCCCATTACACAATTAGACCATTCAGCTAAGACTCGTGGCCTAAACACGGTACTCGACAATTACATAAAATACTATTTTTAACCGACTTCAAAAAAAGGAGGAGGTTCTCAATTCGACTGCGTTTTTTTTGTATGTATGTTACGCGATAAGTATTTGTGAACCGATTTTCAAGGTTATTTTTTTGTTGGAAAGAGGGTACCTTCATAGTGATACCATTTAATTTTGAAGAAAATTATCCACCTCTAAAAGTGGCTGTTCACGCGTGAAGATTCACTTTTATAAATAGCGCCTAAATTTTATTATAAGCAGCAATTATTTTAATGGTTGATTTTGCTATTCTCCAATTCAAGGCGTTTTTCTCTCTCAATATACTTTGAGTAGTAACAACCGATTTTTATTATTTCCCGTGTCAAGTTCCGTATAGTGGCGAACTAGGGGATGAATCCGGGTTTGCGCACTTTCCGGTAACCAATTTCAATAAAACTTGGTAATTATATGTACTGAGTTTATGTACTTGAACGACATTTTTTTACATTTGCTACAATTTCAACTATGACCAACTAAATATGCTCATACCTGCGGACCAAATCCTAGAATCTCCCAGGACAATAGCCAATGTCTCTCCAATCATCTGGTCCTCAGTCAACGACTTATCAGCAACTCTGGTGCCGCTGAACACTTCGTGCGGGTCGGAGACTTGCAGGAACGCGCTGATGAAATTCGCGAGGCGCACAGCCATCTTTGCTTGGTTCTCAAATTGTTCCTCGGCACCGAAGGCTATGTCGCCGTTTAGGAATAGGTCGGAGGGGTTGTATCTATAAAAAATTTTAAGTATTGAAAACTTAGTAAAAAGCTCTATGTGGGAAATTGAATAAAGAAATTGATCAAAAAACCTTTTACACTTTTTTATTAATTTTTTTAATTAAATTATTTTTTTCCATTTATTTATGACACAAGTACATTATAAATACATTACAATATAGCCAAATACGAGACTAACAAATAACTTAAATTTCACCCACTAGCAATTTTCTTATTATCTATTAAGGCGAAGACACTATTATCGTGTGACTTTTTGTTCAGTGTTTGAATTATAGTTAAGTAAAATGATATGGAGATGTGGTAGCTCTGTGTGTACGTGGTTGGTTTTTTAACATGTTTGGTTTATAACGGTTGTTTTATAACATTCCTGAGAAAAAAATACTTTCGGGATTATGGAAATTCGAGCAAACGCTATTTCGGGCAAATGTAATTTCGGACTTCTGAAAAATAACCCCTTCTTTGATCCCTTACTTTACGGCCAGCTTATACGAGTATCCTACTAGTAGTGTATTTTAACCGACTTCAAAACAAGGAAGAGATTCTTAATTAATTCGAGTGTTTTTTTTTGTGAACCGAATTTGATGATTCTTTTTTTGTTGGACAGAGGGGTGCCTCAGAATTGGTCCCATTTAAATTTGAAGAAAATAGTCCACCTCTAAGGGTGGCAAACTAGTGAATGAATCCGGTTTCGCGCACTTTCCGATAACCGATTTCAATAAATCTTGGCAAATAGATGTAATTCCACGAATGATCGAGCATTGAATGAGAATATCGACTGTGAACTGGCAACCGGTACTGTCCCAATTTTGACAACTTTACACGATGAAGAAAAAAATTCTTTGTGTCATTTATTATCTGGTTTATTAAATAAAAATACGTAGTGTATGTGTAATAAAAATATTTCAAAACTACGTATTTTTATTTAATACATCAGATGGTATATAAATGACGCAAACATTTCTTCACCGTGTAAAATTGTCAAAATTGTTATAGTACCGATTGCCAGTTCACAGTCGAATTATGGCAACTTACTTGGAGCAATTATGGGGCTGAACACCTCGTATAAAGTTCAAAACCTCATAGACGTTGACACGCTCTGTATGCAAAGCAGCGGGCCCGCTGGTGGCGTTCACGTATTCGTAATACTGGTCCAAGTAGAGGGCGCGAAGGAACGGGTGCGCCCGCTCCCACTCCACGGGGAGGCGCTGGATCCCTGCAACGGGCACAACGTGACTGTGTTACACTGATACCACCATCGATTATATAACCAGAAACAGATGGTATAAGGGCCGTCCATCCCTGGCAACTCATCCGGCAAATGGACCTTACATCACTTTTACCCGAGGGTTTTATTAAGGGCATTACAGTCAAGTTAGCCTGCAATGCGTGCAATCGTACTGTGTATGCGCAAGTGTGATGAAATAATTTATTATTGTTACTTACAGCCAATAGGTTTGCAGTCAAAGTTGTTGTAGTACTGATCTGACGTAGCTCTCTCCACGATCTCGCCAAGGAACGGCCGCCGCACCAACCGTGGTAGTCGATAGCCAGGCGCGCAGCGGCACTGGTACCCGCCGCGGCGGAAGCCCCAACCGTGAATAGGCTCGCACTAAAACATAATCACCATCAATCATTACACGTGCCACTGCTAATCACAGGTTTCCTTTAAGGTGAGAGTTTAGGTGGCACAATTATTGCGCAATGCAAGTGTTCTAAAGTAGTAAACTTTGTGCAAGGTTTTGATAACGATATCTTCCTTAACCATTAAATAAAGGTGCCTACAGATTTACGCTATTTTGACGATCGTTATTGTCGCTCAATATAGTATTAATATAGCATATACAGGGTTATTTATAAAGTACTAACAACCTCCAGGACTATATTACTAGCATCATAAACAACAACTTTTGTTCCAGGACTTTTAACAATTTGTCAGATTATACTTTCAGACAAAATTACTTATAATTAACATGTTTATGTTATATAAATTGCTCTAATAGTGATAAATCTGTTCAAAACGCGGGAGTCACCAGAAAGAACGCTTGCACGTTTTAACTGACTACTTTACTACCAAATACAGATTTATAAAGTGTCAGATAGTTAGATGTTCCGTTATTAGGCATTGCAGGATTTATAATCTGGCCCCAAGAATGTCTTTCAGACATAAGTTTAAAGAGATTAAAAGTCAATCAGTATTGCACTTCTCTCGAAAAAGGCTTAATTTAGGGTTTAATGTGACAAATCAAGACAATACATACCTCAGTAGTTTCAATCTTACAGCGAGCCGTTGATGCAAACCTATTTGGTTTATCATTCCCCTGACTCGGTGGACATTGGTTTATGTCTATTCTGTCATAGTCCAATTCCATAACAACAGCTGCCGTGTACCTGTCAGCAAGAGCATCTGGTCTGAATAAGCCCAATCTCATACTAAGCAAAAGCATGGATAGCATATCAAGTGATGGGATGGGTAAGCTACATGCCTGTCCATAACAGTTGCAGTGCCACACAGAGCTCTAAATGCAAAGATCTGAGGGGCACTGCCACTGCACCCGTCACCCTGTTCTTTGGAACACCCAAAATTGCAGGAGCTACATCGGGATTGTACGCAGGATGACAGTTGAATAATCTTGTTTTGCCAAAATTGAAAATTCTGCTCAAGGGCGTCAGTTTGGACGACCCAAAGACGATTTAAAAAACCTGCGACAAGTGCAGTAATGGCTATTCCTAAAACTGTTTTTGGATGTGGAAGCATCGGTGAGAGCATGACTGTCGAGTGGAGATTACTTTGAAGGATGCTTTGAGTCAGATTATGATTAATAGACCCAAAACTCTAAATGTAAGAAATAACACAAATACCATATACTAAAAATAAGTTAAAACAAATAGGCGCCTTGACATTGAGTTGCGGACACCAGCCCATCACACGAAGTACGACATAACACAAACACCATATACTAAAAATAAGTTAAAATAAATAGGCGCCTTGACATCGAGTTGCGGACACCAGCCCATTACACAAAGTACCAAGTTAAAATAAAGTCAATAATTTACCTGTGAGTAACAAGTGTTAGCTACTTACGTAGGATACTCAATATGTCTGAATTGAGTGTGTCGAGGGTAAATATCGGCTACAGGTGAAACTGCTCCTACCAACCACTTATTCAGCCTTCCACAGTCAAAGTACGGACGTGTCCAGTTCACGGGACCAGGGACCTAAATTAAACACAGTAATAAGTATATGGTTCACTTTACTTTTTATTTTTATGGCTCCATCAATATGAGAACTGATGATTTTGCCAATGTCACAGTTGAAAGAAAAAAAACGAAACAAAAAAAAAAATTTTCGCTAAGCTCTAATAGGACATTAACCGGTGTTGGT